TGCTCAACTTTTCCAACAAATTCACCATGTCATTTATGATTTATGCATGATTTGAATACGGGGCAAAATGTTCATTTGATAATCAGAGCTTGCATTTGAAAAACAAAGTTACTTTTTGACATGGTTTAATGTAATTATCAATTGTGATGAAAATAATTAAGCTAACACAAGATTAAGTGAAAATTATTTCGTGATGCCCAAACTTGGGCGTGCATGGCAGATGAAGAATGTTTTCAACTAAGTTTGTCAATGGGCTGGGACTTCAATTGTGTATTATCAAATGGGCCTCTATAGTTAATTTTATGGGAAAATTTCATTATTAAGATATTAAGTTTCACCAATTTCAAATTTAAAAAATAAGATTTAAAATTTCAAATTTCAGATTTTTTTAAATTTTATTTATAAATTAATTAATTGAACATATGTTTTATTAATTAAATATATTAAGGTCACAATTCTATATAATTTGATCACAAATTCTATATAATTGATCACATATTATTAATTTGTCACAAATCACAAATTTTACACGTCACAAATTATTTTATTGTCACAATTCAAAAATTTTATAGGTTACAATTTGTTCATCGGTCATACATAAAAAATTGAAACGTCACAAATTATTTTATGGTCACAATTCAAAAATTTTACGTGTCACAATTTGTTCATCGGTCACAAATCAAAAATTTTATAAGTCACAAATTATTATACTGTCACAAATTAGAAATTTTATNATATGTGACAAATTATTTTACGGTTACGATTCAAAAAATTTATAGGTCATAATTTGTTCATTGGTCATAAATAAAAAATTGAAACGTCACAAATTATTTTACGGTCACAATTCAAAAATTTTATATGTCACAATTTGTTTATCGGTCATAGATCAGAAATTTTATAGGTCACAAATTATTATACAGTCACAATTTAAAAATTTTATAAATCACAATTTGTTCATCGGTCACAAATAAAAAAATTTATACATCACAACTTATTCATCAGTCACAAATTACAAATATTATAAGTCACGACTTAGTAGACAGTCACAAATAAACAATTTTTTAGGTCATACATTATTTTTTTGGTCACAATTTATCTTTTTCATTGGTCACAGATTAATCAATTTAATTGTTACAAACAAACAAATAATCTGTGACCACCACCAACCACCAACTTGTAAACAACACCTCACCATTTCCTCCAGCAGCACCATTGCCACC